GCCCTGGCCCCAGCTCCCCACTCACCCCCCGCCCCAGAGACAAGGGGAAGCCCCGAGGTTTGTGCAAGCCAGGGTGCTCCAGCACCCTGCAACCTGCATGAGGGCTCAAGGGAACTCAAAAGATGGGGGTGGCAGGAGTGAGCGGTTCACAAGTGGCATCTGAGGCAGGATGGTGTCTATCCCCGGGAGGCTCAGAGCAGGGACGAGGTACCACAGGGTGCAGGGCGGGGTGCCCTGGGACAATGGGACATCAGGGAGGGCTCTCTTGTCACAGTTGGACTTGTCCCATGACCCCTCGACACCAGGAAGGAGCCCCGAGTCACGGACCCAGCTGTCCAGACCACAGCAGCCACCACCCCTGGGCAGTCACAGGCTCGTGAGAGGCCTGAGGTGGGCAGTGCCACTGGGGAGGTCAAGGTGCCAGGACCCCCTGCAGCCTTCCTCCTGATGGGCACCCCCACTCCAGACCTGCCCACAGCACCACACCCTGGGCTCCCTCTACACTCCTGCTCCAGGGCCCTGCCAGCCCCACCTTCTGAGTCCTCGGGGTCCCCTTGTCCTTGGACCTCAAGCAGGGGTGGGGTGGGTGGCACCTACCCGGCAGGCAGGCACACTCGTGGGTGATGTCCCCCGTGGGGCGGCAGGTTCCCCCATTTTGGCAGGGTGAGGGGCTGCAGGGCACGTAGGGCAGCTCGCAGTGGGGGCCGGTGTGGGTGGCACGGCAGGTGCAGCGGTAGGAGCCCACCTCGTTGTGGCAGGTGCCACCATGGCGGCAGAGCCCAGGGTTCTGGCCACACTCGTTTACATCCTGCCGGCAGGTGGGGCCGTGGAAGCTGGCCGGGCAGTGGCAGATGTACGAGGCCTCAAAGGGCAGGCAGTGGCCGCCGTTGGCGCAGGGGTTGGAGGCACAAGGGTCAGCCTGCTGGCATGACTTCCCTGGGGGAGAGGGGGCAAGAGGGTTATGTCACGATCCCCACAGCTGGGCCCTCCCCTGGAGGCTGGGGGCAGTCTCAACACCTCAGAGGCACTGGCCTGGGCCCATCCTAAGGCACCTTCTTGTTTGGAACTCGGGACCCACTGCGAGACACTGTCATTATTCTTCAGATTGGGGACCGGAAATGACTAAAAACAACTACCCAAAGCCACACAGCCCCGAATCTAGCCCGGCCCATCTCCTCCCAGATCCATGCCCTTAGAAGTCCACTCTAGAGTCGGGCTCGGTGGCTCAGCCTGTAATCCCACGCTTTGGGAGGCTGAGGTGAGTGG